TTCAGTTTCCTCATTTATGTCAGAAATAAATATAATCTTGATGGGTTTTTTTTTTTTTTTTTTTTTTGGTATCTAGGCCTTTTTGCATTGTAAGGCCACAGTAACAAGAAGCTAAAATAAGCCTGGTCCCTGGCCCCGATTGGGTTTGCACTGAGCAGAGTGCTGCCTTGATGTGGACGGGGATCATCATATTAAGAACACATGAATGTTAGGCTACATTCACACTGCAGGCAAATGCAACCCACATCAGATTTTTTTCATGACAGTTTGAATGTGAAAAAATCAGATYTTTTCAAATCCAATCCAGGCCTTTTCAGTATGTGGTACTGAATCGGATACATATCTGATGCTTTTTTTGATAGGGACTAATTCCCAGGCAGAACCCAGGTTTGAACCCTGGCCAGGTGGGGCCGGGCCTCACAGTCCAAAAAGTCCAATAGAATGTTTAGTTTTTTCCAAGGCGGCACTCGTTTTTAAAAAGCTTGAGATGGATCGTTGCTCGAAGCTCGTTGGATCCGACGCCCCAGAATGCTGTTYCTGTAACTGGATCTATCTGTGTTTTACTGCACCTACTGGAGAGGATTTCATTGAGTTGTAARCAGTTAGTGTCTCCACTGATGTGTGTTATGTGTCTACGAGCAAATGAGGTGATTAATGTTCTGAAAACACATCTGACAGGATCAGAGCTGATGTGAACCTATAGTTTAGGGTAGAGCTAGTGGAAGAGACCCACWGCAGGGCTGTAATAGTCTGAACAGGGCGCCTCCCCGTCCCCATTAGGGTTGGACACCGTCATTTTACAGGAGAGGAGGTGAGTGTTTAGTTACAGTGTCAAACAAAAAAAAACTTTTACGATCACACTTTTAATACCCCACCCTCCACCTCCTGTCTCCCTAAGCACCTTCATCAGTTAGGTTTACTCCTCTGTGCTCCTCCTATTGAGCTCTGGCCTTCATCTTATTGCCCAAAGTGCTCCCACATCGTCTGTACTCTGTTTTACTGCGTAAATGTCACCTTAGTTACACTCTCTATTTTCCACGGACTGCCCTTTATTCACTATCCTTTTGAAAAAGACCACTGCTCAATATCGCTCCC